AAAATAAAACAACCATAATATAACATTCTATTTTTTCCCCCCCTTTTTCCCTGCGCTGTAACAAAAACAACCAAACATAAAACCCTAAACACAACCACATCTGGTTAATTCTCTCTTATCCCTTTACCCACGTCTTCTGCTGCTGTAGCGTAACAAAACCATAATAGAACCATAACACAACCATAAAACAGGACCATAACACAACCATAAAACAGGACCATAACACAACCATAAAACAGGACCATAACACAACCATAAAACAGGACCATAACACAACCATAAAACAGGACCATAACACAACCATAAAACAGGACCATAACACAACCATAAAACAGGACCATAACACAACCATAAAATGACCATTCCGAGTATAGAAACAGCTCCTAGCCCAATCCTTCAAGTCTGAAAACACCATTCTGTTCTCTCACCGTCTCTGATGGCTCATCGGCCCTCATCAGGTCTTCATATATCTCATCCCCCTCATTCTCCTGGTCCTCCACACAGTCATACAGGTCATCATCCTCATCCACTGTCTCACTGAGAGGGAGAGGGAGAGAGGGGGGGGGGGGGGGGGGGGAGGGAGGGAGGGAGAGAGAGGGGGGGGGGGAGGGAGGGGGGGGGAGGGAGGGGGGAGGGGAGGGGGGGGGGGGAGAGGGGGGGGAGGGGAGGGGAGGGAGGGAAGAGGGGGAGGGAGGGAGGGAGGGAGGGAGGGAGGGGAGGGGAGGGGAGGGGGGGAGGGAGGGAGAGAGGGGGGAGGGGGGGGGAGGGGGGGAGGGGGGGGGGAGGGGAGGGAGAGAGGGGGAGGGAGGGAGGGAGGGGGAGGAGGGGGGAGGGAGGGAGGGATATGATTAGACATTTTGATAAACAAAACACAACACACACACACACACACACTGAACTTACTCAATCTGGGGCAGAGAGGGCCGCTGTAGATGTATCATCAGTAATAAGCCTTCTATTGGGGAAGGCCTGGAGAGAGAGAAAGAGGAGAGGGGGGAGAGATGGGGAGGGGGAGGGGGAGAGATGGGGGAGGGGGGAGAGAGAGAGGAGAGGGGTAGGGATGGGGGGGGGGGGGGAGAGAGAGAGAGGGGGGAGAGATGGGGGAGGGGGAGAGAGAGAGAGGGGGAGAGATGGGGGAGGGGGGAGAGATGGGGGAGGGGGGGAGAGAGAGAGAGGGGGGGGAAAATGGGGGAGGGGGGAGAGAGGGGGGGGAGGGGGAGAGATGGGGGAGGGGGGGAGAGAGAGAGGAGGGGGGAGATAGAGGGAGATAAAACATAAAGATACTGTTTTATTTTCCAATAAAGATGTCAATAGAATGGTTGAGTTTAAAGAGTTGGGTAACTTACTGGAAACCCTTCTGGATGGAGATGGATGAGTGGGACAGAATGGACAAGGTGTCTATCACCTGAAACACAGACATACAGGGACATGGGATGACATAGAGAGACATGGGATGACAGAGAGACATGGGATGGACAGAGAGACATGGGATGACAGAGAGAGACATGAGATGACAGAGATACATGGGATGACATACAGGAATGAAATAAACAGGGAATGAATAGAAGTATTGGGGAGGAAATTAGATAAAAAACGCCTAGTATTAATGCGGGGTTGTTTACTGGTGGTGAGCTGTATAGAAAAGGAAACCGCGAGGAGAGAGGAGGAGAGAGAGAGAGGAGAGGAGGGGATGAGAGAGAGGAGAGAGGAGAGAAGAGAGTGCAGAGAGAGAGAGAGAGGAGAGAGGAGAGAGAGAGAGAGGAGAGAGAGGAGAGAGAGAGAGAGAGAGAAGAAAGAAAGAAGCGAGAGAGAAGTGAAACCCGTAGTAGAGGAGAAGGAAGAGAGCAGACAAACCAACGGCTGAGAGAGACAGAAGACTGATACTGTTTGTACACTACATGGCCAAAGGTATGTGGACACCCCTTGACTGTATCGTTTAAAGGTTGTGGTTGTGCTCTGGGCTGCGTTATGACTGTGTCAGGGTCGCAGAGAGAAACAGGACTTGTTCCTGTAACTGGGTTGGTTTATGCTAACCGTGGTGACACATTGACAGGAAGCTGCAGAGTGTGAGGCGGCAGAATGAAAACGAAAGAAAACTGCTGTAACACCCAGGTCAAAGACCACACACACACTTTCAGACGACAGCAAGGGGACTGCTGTAACACCCAGGTCAAAGAACCAACCACACACCACTATCAGACGACAGCAAAGGGGGAATGCTGTAACAACCCAATGTCAAAGACCACACACACACTATCAGACGACAGCAAGGGGACTGCTGTAACACCCAGGTCAAAGACCACACACACACTATCAGACGACAGCAAGGGGACTGCTGTAACACCCAGGTCAAAGACCACACACACACTATCAGACGACAGCAAGGGGACTGCTGTAACACCCATGTCAAAGACCACACACACACTATCAGACGACAGCAAGGGGAACCACTCCCCCCTACCTTCAGGCTATGCTCAAACCCTACATCCCAACCCGAGCACTCTTGGCCGTCCCACCCCTACAACGAGGTCAGCTCCCACTCAGCCCCCCCCCCCACCCCCCCAAAACTAAATAAAACTTGCACTTGTTGTCTTTTCCTAGACTGTGATATGTGGTTGTCCCACCTAGCTATCTTAAGATTAATGCATCTGTAAGTCGCTCTGGATAAGAGCGTCTGCTAAATGACTAAAATGTAAATGTAAAATGAGAGAGAGAGAACAAGAGCGAGTTCAGATGAGGTGAGGTGATGTCACACACACACACACCTTGCCGAAGTCTCTGACATCAAACAGGTCGAAGGCTTCAAACAGTTCAGTCTTCTTCAGGTGAAACTTCTCCTGACACACCCCCAGGAACGTACGGATGTTCTTCAGACACAGGAACTACAGGGAGCCAATCAGAACAGGTTATTTCAGACACAGGAACTATAGAAGCCAATAATATCAGGTTATTCAGAGACAAGAACTAGAGGAGTCAATCAGATAAGGTTATTTAAGACATAGGAACTACAGAAGCCAATCATATCAGGTTATTTAAGACACAGGAACTACAGTGAGCTAATCAGAACAGGTTATTCACAAGCGATTCAGTCACACTTCATAGTCAAACAGATTCAGTTATCACGTTGAAATGTGTCATCATCACACATTCACTCAGCCAACTTGTGTAATGATTGACCAATAAATGAATTGGTTGACAGACACAATGCTGTGCACATTACTATGGAAACCAGCAGGGAGGTGGGGAGAGATAGAGGGAAAGAAACAATGGAGAGAAGGAGAGAGACAGAGAGAGAGAGGGAGAGAAATTAGGGGGAGTTAGAGGGAGAGAGAAATTACGGGGAGAGAGAGAGAGGAGAGAGAGAGAGAGAGAGAGAGGAGAGGAGGAGAGGAGGGGGAGGAGAAGAGAGAGAGAGAAACTAGGGGACGAGAGAGAGAGAAGAGAGAGAGAGGTGGGTGGAGAAAAGCAGAAATAGGGAGAGAGAGAGAAGAGGGAGAGAGAGAGAGAGAGAGCGAGGAGAGAGGGGGGAGAGAGGGGGAAGAGGAGAGAGAGAAGAGATGGGGAGAGAGAGAAACTAGGGAGAGAGAGAGAGAGAGAGGGGGGGGAGAGAGGGGGGGAGAGAGAGGAGAGAGAGGGGGAGAGAGAGAAACTAGGGAGAGAGAGAGAGAGAGAGAGAGAGAGAGAGATACAAATACAAAACCGCAAGGTCTTCATCCAGTCAGTGTAAAATACATGAATGTCTCAAATACAAAACCGCAAGGTGTTCATCCAGTCAGAGTAAAATACATGAATGTCTCAAATACGAAACCCCAAGGTGTTCATTCAGTCACTGTAAAACACATTAAGGTTAACACACTGCTGCTCAGCGGTCAGACATTTACAGAGATTTGCATAGCTTCCTGCCAGAGCAGTGTGTGGTGTTGTGTCGTCTCAGCATTGTTAAATGGAGAACTCTAATTTCAGAAAAGGGGAAATGTTCAGAGTTCTGACTGACACTCATATATCACCCTGGTGTGAGTACACACACACACACACACACACACACACACACACGTACGCACACACACACACACACACACGTACGCACACACACACGTACGCACACACACACACACCTGTGACGTCCACAGACGTCCTTTCATTGAAATGGACACTTCCCTGTGCAGTTCTGCAAAGTGTCTCAACATGTGTATGTATCATGAAGGTGCCGGATGGAGGACACCAGTCACATGATGTTTCTGAACCACAGTCTTACCTCATAGGATTCCCCAGAGTTACACACACACACAAGGTCACTCAGCAAGGTCAAACCTGCTACGACCGAACACACACACACACACACTTAATCAAATTGATCAATAAATTACAATATTCTGATATTCTGACCCGCAGAAAGGATTGCCCAGTCCCTTACACCCACACACTGTAAACCACAAGAGATTATGGTATTTGATACACACCCACCCACCACACACACACACACACACACACACCCACACACACACACACACACACACACACACACACACCGATCGCTATCAGGTGATTTTCTTATCTCATTGTCCGGGGGCTTAAATGCAGTCTGTTCGTCGCTATGGAACGGTCGCTATGGAAATGGCCTGTAGGGAAATGAAGCAGGAAACCTATCATCCTGCGGAGCGGCCTTCTCACTCTAGAGGTGTCCTCTTCATGTCGTGGCGTCCGTCCAGCCATGGTGGTTCTTCTCCCTCGCGCCTCTTATGTTCCGCTAAACTACATCTCTCTCTCTCTCTCTCTGGTTGGTTGACTACGGCTGCCCCTCCTGCCGGGACCAGAACTACATCCACCCATGTTGCCTGATGACACCTGGCCTCTTGCTACTGCTTTTCTCACTGGACCCTCTGGACCCGGACTGCTGCTCTGGACCCTGACAGCTGCTCTGGACCCGGACTGCTGCTCTGGACCCGGACTGCTGCTCTGGACCCGGACTGCTGCTCTGGACCCTGTCTGCTGCTCTGGACCCGGACTGCTGCTCTGGACCCGGACTGCTGCTCTGGACCCTGACTGCTGCTCTGGACCCTGTCTGCTGCTCCGGCAGTGACTCACCTACCCTTTCTGCCAGCGACAGCCTATCTCTCAGCATACTGCTACCTCTGCCCTCTACCTCACGTTCTGACTCCGCCGGCGGTGCAACTGGTTTTCTGGTTGCCTGCTCTAGCCTCCTGGCTATTTTGCCTGCTCCATCTTCACAGCCTCTAGCAGCCCACTGGCCCTGTGTCCACTGCTCCAGCAGCTCTCCCCCTCTCAGGTCCCACTGGCCCTGTGTCCACTGCTCCAGCAGCTCTCCCCCTCTCAGGTCCCACTGGCCCTGTGTCCAGTGCTCCAGCAGCTGCTCACCCCGTCTCTCTGCCACTGACGTCCTCTCTCCCCGCCTCAGGCCCCGCCGGCTTGTGACTGCTGCTCCCATGGTGACACACCCTCCCTCTCCACCAGTGATGACCTCCATCTTTGCCTCTGGTCCTACTGGTCCTGTGACCGCCACCCTCTGCCAGCGACGCTGGTTCAACCAGCTATCTGTGCCTGCTGCCTCTGTTCCTCACAGCTGTGACTGCTGACCCCAGCGGCGCCCTCCGGCTCACCGTTCCCTCTCGACGGCCGCCCTGGCTCTTCCTTCACCCAGCACACTCCACTACAATTCGCATCCAGTCTCTTCCTCGCTTCGCCAGCAGATCCTACACGGTCCTGCTGGCCCCTCTCTCTGCCAGTGACGACCTCTCTGCCCACCTCGGGTCCCTCTAGGCCCGTATTTGGCCTTCTCGTACTACAGAGACGTCATCTGCTCGGCTCACCCTTCTCGCCGCTAGGAGTTGGATGACTACCACTCCATCGTTATGGATCTGGCTGTTCGTTATGGTGGCGCAACAATCTACGACTGCCATTGGCTGTTTTCAGCTGTCACTGCCTCCAGGCTCCTGCAGTGGAATGTCAGCACGTACTGGGGCGCTCTTGACAGCTGGACTGTAGCCTCTTCGCCCGCAGGGTGTCCATCGCTTGCGACCTCTGCAGTTGTCCATCCCACCCTGCCTGCATCCTTGCGACCTCTGCAGTTGTCTCCCTTGATGCGTCCCCCTCTGACAACCCCTTCCTTCCGTCAGCCGTCATCCCCCCGTGCTCCAACGACCTGGTTACTACATTTGCCCTTGACACCCTTTCGACCCTCTGGCGGCAGCTCCGCCCCTCATGCCAGTGACGTCCTCTCTCTTCACCAGCCGGAACCCGCTGACTGCCACTGTCACCCCCGCAGCGTCTCACCTTCCATCCCTACCAGCCATGAACTCCCACATCTCAGCCAGCTCATCCAGTTACGTGCCAACTGCTCCTGCAGCGGTTCAGACCCTGGTCTTACCGGCTGAGAGCCTCTCCTAGATCAGTGAGCCAACTGCCTCTGTTCAAGTCTTCAACTGCCCAGCCTCACCATCACCACAGCAGCCGAACTACCGAGACCTGATGGTGATGTCTATCTGACACTCCAAGCCAAACTCTAGAAACCACCCCCTGAATCCCTCCTCTACAGTCCTCTACTTCATCTGGTCCATTCTCATTCCCTTCCTACAGTCCTCTACTTCATCCGGTCCATTCTCATTCCTCTACTGAATCCCTCCTCTACAGTCCTCTACTTCATCCGGTCTATTCTCATTCCCCTACTGAATCCCTCCTCTACAGTCCTCTACTTTATCCGGTCCATTCTCATTCCCTTCCTACAGTCCTCTACTTCATCTGGTCCATTCTCATTCCCTTCCTACAGTCCTCTACTTCATCTGGTCCATTCTCATTCCCTTCCTACAGTCCTCTACTTCATCCGGTCCATTCTCATTCCCCTCCTCATACGGTCCTCATTCTCACATTCATTCCATTCTCATTCCCCTCCTACAGTCCTCTACTTTATCCGGTCCATTCTCATTCCCTTCCTACAGTCCTCTACTTCATCTGGTCCATTCTCTTTCCCTTCCTACAGTCCTCTACTTCATCCGGTTCATTCTCATTCCCCTCCTCCAACAGTCCTCATTCTCACATTCATTCCATTCTCATTCCCCTCCTACAGTCCTCTACTTTATCCGGTCTATTCTCATTCCCCTACTGAATCCCTCCTCTACAGTCCTCTACTTCATCCGGTCTATTCTCATTCCCCTACTGAATCCCTCCTCTACAGTCCTCTACTTTATCCGGTCCATTCTCATTCCCTTCCTACAGTCCTCTACTTCATCTGGTCCATTCTCATTCCCTTCCTACAGTCCTCTACTTCATCTGGTCCATTCTCTTTCCCTTCCTACAGTCCTCTACTTCATCTGGTCCATTCTCTTTCCCTTCCTACAGTCCTCTACTTCATCCGGTTCATTCTCATTCCCCTCCTCCAACAGTCCTCATTCTCACATTCATTCCATTTCCTCAAATATTCTATATTTCAATGTCTGTTCCTTAAACTGGTGACATGAAGCAGGAAGTATTAGTATACAGCTTAAAGGGTAGGTAGCATAAACGTAGCCACATGTAACATATGGATTTCCATTCCTATAACATTTCCAATGCAAAGTTACACCTCACTTTTTGTATTTTGTGAGTTATTACCTTAAACGGATCAGAATTCCAAAGTTTTCAGACGTACAAGCAAACGCTTTGAATGTATTGTTACAAATCAACTTGCAAGGTTGCTTGCCAACTAACCCGCTGACGTTAGCCCTACTAGCTAGCCAGCTAACATAATGTATATACAGGTGTGTGTGTGTGTTACCTGGGACATCTGTGGTCGTAGGTTGATCTCTCGGAGGTTGACGGCGTGGGGTAGTAAGTTGTTGAGCAGCTGACAGAGCAGGACTCCATCCCTCAGAGCCTGGGCTAGCTCGCACACCTGAGCACTGTCCCACGTTACCCTGTGGCTCTCAGGGAGCACCCTGCACTCTATCAGCCACACTGCACAGTGACGCCACAGCTCCATCTCAACCTGAACACCACCGCCTGGACACAACAGGAACACAACATAACATGAACATGACCGTAAGACAACCATAACCCTGATCAGCCACACTGCACAGTGACGCCACAGCTCCATCTCAACCTGAACACCACCGCCTGGACACAACAGGAACACAACATAACATGAACATGACCGTAAGACAACCATAACCCTGATCAGCCACACTGCACAGTGACGCCACAGCTCCGTCTCAACCTGAACACCACCGCCTGGACACAACAGGAACACAACATAACATGAACATGACCGTAAGACAACCATAACCCTGATCAGCCACACTGCACAGTGACGCCACAGCTCCATCTCAACCTGAACACCACCGCCTGGACACAACAGGAACACAACATAACATGAACATGACCGTAAGACAACCATAACCCTGATCAGCCACACTGCACAGTGACGCCACAGCTCCATCTCAACCTGAACACCACCGCCTGGACACAATAGGAACACAACATAACATGACCGTAAGACAACCATAACCCTGATCAACCACACTGCACAGTGACGCCACAGCGCCATCTCAACACCCACCACCTGGACACAACAGGAACACACAATGAAACATAACCGTAAGACTGTTTCGTCATGTCTCCCTGTCCGTGGCTCTCAGGTAGGACCCTGGCCTGCACTCTATCAACCACACAACGTATCATGAACATTAACACAACATAACCGTAACACAACCTCAATATAACACGAACATGACCATAAGAGAACCATAAACACGACCACATTTGGACACATCAGCCACACTAACGCCACAGCTCCATCTCAACCGTAACACGACCACCTGAACACAACAGGACCACAATATAACCTGAATATAACATGAACATGACCAACATTGGAGACACTATCGGCCACAGCGCACTGACGCCACAGCTCCATCTCGACCGTCCTTACCGAAACACGACCACCTGAACACAACATGGAAACAACATGAACATGACCGTAAGACGACCATAAGCACATTGTACCAAATCCCTCACTTACGCCACAACTCCATCTCAACCATAATGCGACCACCTGACGATAACATAAACCTAACAGAAACATAATCGTAAGACAACCTGAATATAACAACCATAACAGTAAGACAACCTGAATATAACAACCATAACTGTAAGACAACCTAAATATAACATAACCATAACCGTAAGACAACCTCAATATAGGTTGTGTTTCTCTGGTAACAGGACCACCTGACCAAAACACAACCACATGAACACAACAAGAACAAAACATATAATCTGAATATAACATGACCGTAAAACAAGCATAAACACAACCACACATTCGACACTATCAGCCACACCGCACACTGATGCCACAGCTACAACTCGACCGTAACACGACCACCTGGCGATTAACATGAACATAACATGACCGTACGACAACCATTGGACACTTGATGAGCCAAATAGCCTGAAAACATCTTGATTGTCCTGACCACAACAGAACCAGAAAAAAATGTAATAATTAAAAAAAAAGTTGTTTTGTCACATACACCGGATAGGTGCAGTGTAATGTGTTGTTTTACAGGGTCAGCCATAGTAGTATGATAGGTGCAGTGACGTGTTGTTTTACAGGGTCAGCCATAGTAGTATGAAAGGTGCAGTGACGTGCTGTTTTACAGGGTCAGCCATAGTAGTATGAAAGGTGCAGTGTAATGTGTTGTTTTACAGGGTCAGCCATAGTAGTATGATAGGTGCAGTGTAATGTGTTGTTTTACAGGGTCAGCCATAGTAGTATGATAGGTGCAGTGAAATGTGTTGTTTTACAGGGTCAGCCATAGTAGTATGATAGGTGCAGTGTAATGTGTTGTTTTACAGGGTCAGCCATAGTAGGACAGCTATAGTAATCCTTGTTTGAAAGAGGCAAAACGCTTTAGTTTAACAATCTTCACGTTTCTACAGAAATAGATCACATGCAGTGAAACTGTACTAACCTTCCCTGAACTGTTTCTAGATCTGTTCCTAGATCTGCTTGCCTCTGAAAGCGCGGCCTTCGGCCGTTAGTAACCCATGTGTCTATATCCAGGGAACTAACTTCAGACTCATGACTAGAGGGCTCCGAATATTCCAACAACTTTATTTAACACAAAAAACACACTTTTTCTTCTCTCTGCATTGTTGGGGAAGGGGCCAATCAGCCGTCAGTAAGCATTCTCTCCGTTAGTCTACACCTGTTGTTTTACCAAGCATGTGAGGAATAAAAAGGAGATGTTGATTTGACCTTTAAACTTATGTAACAACTAAAAGTATTTCTTACCTTCTTGTTCTCTTCTTCGGGTCTGTGGCTCTGTTCTTCTTCCTCCGTGTTGATGTCTCTGTCTGTGTTCACCTCCCCTGTCTTCTTTTCATTGTCTCTCTCTTGTTTCCTCGTTCTCTGCCCTTGTGGTCGTTGTTCCGAGGTGGGTGTTGCCTTCTGCAGAGCTGCAGACGGAGGAAGACTCTTTTAACTGCACCACTTCCCCTTTCCCCTGTCACACACAGAGGCACACGAGCACAGGCACACACACCACACACACACACACACACACACACACACACACACACACACACACACACACACACACAACACACACACACACACACACACACACACACACACACACACACAGAGCACACACACACACACACACAGCACACACACACACACACACACGCACACACACACAGACAGAGGCACACACACACATGCACAGTATACTCAGTATGATATGTGAATGTGTGAGATCACAAAATCAACCACAAAGCACACATTCAGAGGGGGAGTTAAAGTGTGACAGAGACTGGATGATAATCATCTTACTATTGAAGTTTGGAACATGAAAATGCATGTGTGTAGAATCCTATCCTATCCCATAGTTCATGTATTAACTGATCCCCTCATCAGAAACTCTACTTATCCTATATAATAGTTAATGTATTAACTGATCCCCTCATCAGAAAGTCACTCTGAGTTAGTTCAGCAACAAGTGACAACAGAGGGAACTCTAAGAGTGAAACTACATAGTATTTCCTTGATTCCTCATTTCCAAGTCCTCCCTACTTGTCTCATTCTCAAAGAACATTGGAGCAGAAGCTCTGAGGTTCCTCCCCTTGGATCTCCTCCTCCAATGGGGTTTTGAGAAGAGGCCAAGGAGAGAGGATGAGAGGAATCAAGGAAATACAATTGACCCACAATAGGGACACAGCTTTATAGGGAACTAGTGCCCTCTAGTGAAACTAGCAGATACTGCTGGGCCAGCACAACTGAAGGCTAAACGCACGGACACACACACACACACACACACACACACACACACACACACACACACACACACACACACACACACACACACATGCACACACACACACACACACAACACACACACACACACACACACACACACACACACAGAGCTTGTATATCATTTGCCAAACAAACCATCGATCATTCTGTCTCTTTCTCCCTCCCTCCCTCCCTCCCTCAATTCAATTTCAATTTCATTTCAATTTAAGGGCTTTATTGTCATGGGAAACATATGTTAACATTGCCAAAGCAAGTGAAGTAGATAGTAAACAAAAGTGAAATAAACAATAAATATTAACAGTAAACATTACACTCAGAAGTTCCAAAAGAATAAAGTCATTTAAAATGTCATATTACGTATATATACAGTGTTGTAACAATGTGCAAATAGTTCAAGTACAAATGGGAAACTAAATAAACATAAATATGGGTTGTATTTACAATGGTGTTTGTTCTTCACTGGTTGCCCTTTTCTTGTGGCAACAGGTCACAAATATTGCTGCTGTGATGGCACACTGTGGTTTTTCACCCAGTAGATAAGGGAGTTTATCAAAATTGGGTTTGTTTTCGAATTCTTTGTGGATCGCTGTAATCTGAGGGAAATATGTCTCTCTATGGTCATACATTTGGCAGGAGGTTAGGAAGTGCAGCTCAGTTTCCACCTCATTTTGTGGGCAGTGTGCACATAGCCTGTCTTCTCTTGAGAGCCAGGTCTGCCTACGGCGGCCTTTCTCAATAGCAAGGCTATGCTCACTGAGTCTGTACATAGTCAAAGTTTTCCTTAAGTTTGGGTCAGTCACAGTGGTCTCTCTCTCTCTCTCTCTTCTGTTTTTCACTCTGTCTTTTCCCTCAGAATGTTAGAATCCTGTCCCAACTTGCTTGCTCCGCCCCCTGATTTGAGATACAGATTCCTGCGTAGGGACTGGCTGATTCACGGGGCACTCCGGGGTCCCATCGTAGGGGGGTTCTGATTGGCTGGGAAAGGAAGCCATCAATACTGGTTGTGAGGGGATAGACCTGGGCTACTGGAGGGTAACAGGACCATGGATGAGAGAGAGAAAGAGTAGAGAGAGAGGAGAGGTAGAGGAGAGAGAGAGAGAGAGAGAGAGAGAGAGAGAGAGAGGAGAGAAGAGAGAGAGAGAGATAGAAGAGCGAGAGCAGAGAGGTACGAGAGCTCGTAGAATAGGAACATAGAGGAGGAGAGACATAGATCGAGAGGACACTGAAGGGGTTAGTAGTAGTACAATGGGGATAACAGGGATCAGGTCGAAGATATACACCCTATTGAAAGAGAGAGAGAGAGATAGACAGAGAGAAAAGTAGAGATTACCGTAAAAAGTCAGAGCCAGATCATCACAGGTAGGTGCTACATGCCTGCACTCCGAAAACACACAGACGCTGTGTGTGTAACTATGTGTGTGTAACTATGTGTGTAACTATTTGTGTAACTGTGTGTGTGTGTGTATAACTGTGTGTGACTGTGTGACTGTGTGTGTGTGTGTGTGTGTGTGTGTGTGTGTGTGTATAACTGTGTGTGTATAACTGTGTGTGACTGTGTGACTGTGTGTGTGTGTGTGTGTGTGTGTGTGTGTGTGTGTGTGTGTGTGTGTGTGGTGTGTGTGTGTGTGTGTGTGTGTATAACTGTGTGTGTATAACTGTGTGTGTAACTGTGTATACCCCTGTATGTCAAAGATGGACTGTCTCTGTCTCTGTTTCTCAGACATGAACAATCGCTCCATAGCCTGGTGGCTGAAACAGATAGGACTGCCCCAGTACACCAAGTCACTGGAGAGAGAATACTATGGCCTAGAGGTACCTGTCTCTGTGTCTGTCTGAATGCCTGCCTGCCTGTCTGTCTGACTGTCTGTCTCTATGTCTGTCTGTCTGACTGTCTCTATGTCTGTCTGTCTGTTTGTCTCTATGTCTGGCTGTCTGACTGTCTCTATGTCTGTCTGTTTGTTTGTCTCTATGTCTGGCTGTCTGACTGTCTCTATGTCTGTCTGTTTGTTTGTCTCTATGTCTGGCTGTCTGACTGTCTGTCTATCTGTCTGTCTGACTGTATCTGTCTGTCTGTTTCTGCCTGTTTCTTTCTCTATTTATATAAACTAGTTACAGCCTTAATTTCTCTCCCTCTCTCTCACCACAACCCCTCTTCTTTCTCCCTTTTCCTCACCCTCATCTCTCCCTCTCCCCTCCCCCTCTCCCTCTCTCACCCCAACCTGTCTCTGTGTCTCTGTCACTCTGTCTCTCTCTCCATCCTCTCTCTCTCTCTCCCTCCATCTCTTTCTACATCTCTCTCTCTACATCTCTCTCCCTCCATCTCTCTCTCTCCATCTCTCTCTCTCTACATCTCTCTCTCACATCTCTCTCTCTACATCCTCTCTCCTCCACTCTCTCTCCTACATATCTCTCTCTCATCTCGCTCGTCATCTACACTCTCTCTCTACATCTCTCTCCCCCATCTCTCTCTCCATCCTCCTCTCTACTCTCTTCTCTACATCTCCCTCTCTACCTCTCTCCCCTCATCCTCCTCTCCATCTCTCTCTCTCTACATCTCTCTCTCTACATCTCTCTCTCTACATCTCTCTCCTCATCTCTCTCTCTCCATCTCTCTCTCATCTCTCTACATATCTCTCTCTCACATCTCTCTCTCACATCTCTCTCTCCATCTCTCTCTCCAGGGTTTGCTCTATGTATCTGATGTTGATCTGAAGGACGCTGGAGTAGATGATCCCAGTCACAGAGACACCATACTCTCTCAGCTGCTGCGGCACAGACAGACACTAGACCCACACTCTGGTAACACACACACCTAACACACACACACACACCTACCCACCACCTTACACACAGACAGACCTCACCCCACACTCTGGTAACCCACACCTAACACACAACATACACTAGCCCACACTCCTGGTACACACCCCTAACACCACCCCCTAACACACAGATCGATACTGATGTGACAACACCTGGTAAACACCATCACAACACACAACCTAACCTCACACAGACAGACACTAGACCCACACTCTGGTAACACACACACCTAACACACACACACACTACACACAACAACACCTAACACCCACACTCTGGTAACACACACACCTAACACACACACACCTAACACACAGACAGACACACCCACACTCTGGTAACACACACACCTAACACACACACACCTAACACACAGACAGACACTAGACCCACACTCTGGTAACACACACACCTTACACACACACACCTACACACACACAGACACTACACCCACACTCTGGTAACACACACACCTAACACACACCAACACTCTGGTAACACACACACACCTTACACACACACACGTAGACACACACCTACACACACACAATGCACGCACACACACACGTATGCACACACACACACATACACACTCGTCTAACCTGCGCCCTTTGTGGTCCTGTCTCAGGTATGGTGGAGGAGCGGAGGGTGAGCAGGAAGTATTCTCTGGGCTCGTCTCTGGACTTGGTGAGAACATAGAATATAGAACATAGAATATAGAACATATAACATTGAATATAGAACATATAATATAGAACATAGGTCATAGAACATACAACCCAGACTGGTTCTATCCCTTCTCCCCCAAGTGCACACTTCAGGGAGAAGGGGGCAAAACAGAATTGGGCTAATGAGATGAGAAATAATTAATCTACGGCATCAATCAGTAGAATCTCTAGAAGATGAATAGAACTCTTCCCAGTCAATAGAAGTGAATATCACCCCTGGATCAGGTTGCTCATATTGTCTACAAGATGAATAGAACTCTTCCCAGTCAATAGAAGTTAATATAACCCCTGGATCAGGTTGCTCATATTGTCTGCAAGATGAATAGAACTCTTCCCAGTCAATAGAAGTTAATATAACCCCTGGATCAGGTTGCTCATATTGTCTGCACGGTCTCTCCAATGGCTCTACGTTCATTTTTTCTGTTCTGGCTCTATAGGTGAAACCCAGGAAGGATCTGTTCCGTCAGAGTGTTCTGCCCCGCCTTCGACGCAAGGTCACAGTCTCCGCCTCCTGTTCACAGCTCCACCCACTGGAGGAGGGGCTGAGCCAGGGACACACCCCCAAGCAGGACCACGGACAGACAAGGAAACGCAGGTACAGAACTGGGATTATACACTTTCATATCAACAGACTGGGAGGGTTGGAGGGTGTGTGTGTGTGGAAGGGTTGGAGGGTGTGTGTGTGTGGAAGGGTTGGAGGGTGTGTGTGTGTGTGGAAGGGTTGGAGGGTGTGTGTGTGTCTGTGTGCAAGTGTGTGTGTGTGTGGTTTATCATTAACCTCACCGTCATAAACACAGCCCTTTAAACAGGAGCGTGTCAACAGAACAGTAATGAATGGAGCAGGGACTAAGTGTACATCTAGGTATCTGTCTGCTGTCTGTCTGCCTGTCTGTCTGTCTGTCTGTCTGTCTGTCTGTCTGTCTGTCTGTCTGTCTGTCTGTCTGTCTGTCTGTCTACCCTGTCTGTCCTATCTGTCTGTCCTATCTGTCTGTCTGTCCTATCTGTCCTATCTGTCTGTCCTATCTGTCTGTCCTATCTGTCTGTCCTATCTGTCTGTCTGTCTGTCTGTCTGTCTGTCTGTCTGTCTGTCTGTCTGTCTGTCTGTCTGTCTGTCTGTCTACCCTGTCTGTCCTATCTGTCTGTCCTATCTGTCTGTCTGTCCTATCTGTCCTATCTGTCTGTCCTATCTGTCTGTCCTATCTGTCTGTCCTATCTGTCTGTCCTATCTGTCTGTCTGTCTGTCTGTCTGTCTGTCTGTCTGTCTGTCTTCTCATAGTTGTTTGTTTACCTCATATTATTAAACCCTACATGCCTTCAGAAATTAATATTCACAAACCTTGACTTGTTCCACATTTTGTTGTGTTTAGACTGAATTAAAATGAATTAATACCCCATAATGTCAAAGTGGAATTATGTTTTTTCAAATGTTGTACTAATTACTTAAAAATGAAACTGAAATGTCTTGAGTCAATAAGTATTCAACCCCTTTGTTATGGCAAGCCTAAATAAGTTCAGGAGTAAATATGTGCTGAACAAGTCACATAATAAGTTGCATGGACTCACTCTGTGTGCAATATTAGTGTTTAACATGATTTTTGAATGACTGCCTCATCTCTGTACCCCACACATACAATTATCTGTAAGGTCCCTCAGTCGAGCAGTGAATTTCAAACACAGATTCAACCACAAAGACCAGAGAGGTTTTCCAATGCCTCGCAAAGAAGGGCACCTATTGGTAGATGGGTAAAAATTAAAAAAAGTTGACATTGAATATCCCTTTGAGCATGGTGAAGTCATTAATTCCACTTTGGATGGTGTATCAATACACCCAGTTACTACAAAGATACAAGCATCCTTCCTAACTTGTTTCCAGGAGAGGAAGGAAACCGCTCAGAGATTTCACCATGAGGCCAATTGTGACTTTAAAACAGTTACAGAGTTTAATGGCTGTGATAGGAGAACACTGAGGATGGATCAACAACATTGTAGTAACTCAACAATACTAACCTAAATGACAGAGTGAAAAGAAGGAAGCCTGTACAGAATATAAATAGTCCAAAATATGCATCCTGTTTGCAGTAAGGCACTAAAGTAAAACTGCAAAAAAGGTCCTGAATACAAAGCGTTATGTTTGGGGCAAATTCAACACAACACATCACTGAGTACCACTCTTATTTTCAAACATGGCGGTGGCTGCATCATGTTATGGGTATGCTTGTCATCGGCAAGGACTAAGGAATGTTATAGGATAAAAATAAATGGAATAGAGCTAAGTACAGGCAAAATCCTAGAGGAAAACCTGGTTCAGTCTGCTTTCCAACAGACACTGGCAGACAAATTCACCTTTCAGCAGGACAATAACCTAAAACAGGTGACATTGAACATTCCTGAGTGGTCTAGTCACAGTTTGGATTTAAATCGTCTTGATAATCTATGGCAAGACTTAAACATGGCTGTCTAGCAAGGATCAACAACCAGCTTGACAGAGTTTAAAGAATTATTAAAAGAACAATCTGCAAATATTATACAATCCAGGTGTGGAAAGCTCTTAGAGACTTACCCAGAAAGGCTCACAGATGTAATCGCTGACAAAGGTGATTCTAACATGTATTGACTCAGGGGTGTGAATACTTATGTAAATGAGATATTTCTGTATTTTATTCAATAAATTAGCACAACATTTATTTTAAACATCACTGTCATTATGATGGGTGAGTTTTTCTTTTAATCCATTTTGAATTCAGGCTGTAACACAACAAAATGTGGAATAAGTCAAACGGTATGAATACTTTCTGACGGCACTGTATATGGGATTTTCACAGTTCTTTTCTCAGACCTCAACTCCTCGCAACAATCTCTCAAGTTTGGACGGACATTTTTTACCACGTAAATGACTTTGCATTTCAGTTGTGCAAAACAAAGCAAAGTTATTCTACTCAGGTATAAAGAAGACTCTCTACCATGGACAGCCATTCACAGCTAGACTAGAGATAAACAGGCTGCATACTGTCTCTACCATGGACAGCCATTCACAGCTAGACTAGAGATAAACAGGCTGCATAATATTTCTTGCCAGATGCAAATAACAACCAAACATCCTTGTCGTCTTCATGTCAGTCAAGTCTGGGCCTGTCGGTTCAGCTGTTAAACTTCACAGGAGGAACAACACGCAGCTGAAATTCTCTGAGTGAGAGAGAGAGGGAGAGAGAGATAACTTTCCCTGGCTCCACTTTCATAAATCAGTAACAACCTGGTGAAGTGTAGCTCTTGACCCTGAGTGTGTGTGTGCGTGTGCGTGCGTGCAAGTCTGTATGCGTGTGCACATCTGTGTGTGTTTGCGTATGTGTCTACATCCGTGTGTGTGTTCCACCCCCCGCCTGGGTATAATGGTATTGCCCTGGAGAGAACAGTGTGTGAGTACAGGACCATTGAGCCATAACCTCCTGTCAGGATAATAAAACGAGATTATGTCTGTCTGTCTACTGTTCTAGTCCATTCACTAACAACATCTGTAGTTGTGTCTACTGTTCGTAGTCCATTCACACACGTCGCTGTTGTCATGTCTTGTTCTAGTCCATCACTAAACGTCTGTCGTGTCTGTCTGTCGGTCTTCTGTTGTTACTGTTTGTCCATCACAACACAGTATGTGTCTGTCCGCTGTCGTGTGACGTCTGTCAGTACTGCCTTGAGTCCATTAACCTGTCGTCTGTCTGTCGTCTGTTTTGTCTGTCTGTCTACTGTCTAGTCTTCACTAACAACTGTCGTCTCTGTCTGTCTGTTTCTTTGTCTGTCTGTCTGTCTAGTCTTACTACGTCTGTCTGTCTTGTCTGTCTGTCGTACTGTTCTAGTCCATTCACTAACAACGTCGTTGTCTGTCTGTCTCTGTTTGTCTCTGTCTTCTTGTCTGTGCTGACTGTTCTAGTCCATTCACTAACAAGTCTGTCTGTCTGTCTGTCTACTGTTCTAGTCCATTCACTAACAACAGTCTGTCTGTCTGTCTGTCTGTCTGTCTGTCTGTCTGTCTGTCTACTGTTCTAGTCCATTCACTAACAACTGTCTGTCTGTCTGTCTTGTCTGTCTGTCTGTCTGTCTGTCTGTCGTCTACTGTTTAGTCCATTCACTAACAACACTGTCTGTCTGTCTGTCTGTCTGATGTCTGTCTCCTACTGTCTGTCTGTCTGTCTGTCTGTCTGTCTGTCTGTCTACTGTTCTAGTCCATTCACTAACAACTGTCTGTCTGTCTGTCTGTCTGTCTGTCTGTCTGTCTACTGTTCTAGTCCATTCACTAACAACTGACATGGTGCTGACAGACCTAACTAATAGAAGGGATTTGGGTTGGAATCAGCAGGCGTGTGGAATTAACCTGGATTTACAGGTGTGTGTGTGTGTGTGTGGGGGGGGGAATCCGAGGAATGTTGGAGACAGCGCTGTTACAGTGTCAGGGAGGGGAGGAACGGGAGAGATAAGTCAGGAAACGTGTGAGGACTCATCAGAAACACACACACACAGCGAAAAACTGGAGGCACGGGAGAGGGATACTTCCTCGCGTTGTAGTTTGGGTTGTGTGTGTTGTGAGAGTGCGTGCGGTGGTGTGAACTTTGGATCTCTGCTTGCGGCAACTGGCCCGAAAAAAAAATGTCCGTCCGAATTTGAGAGACTTTTGCCAGGACTCGAGATCTCGCAGGTAAGCGTTGTCAATATTATTTGTAAAAAATGTAGTAGGCTAAAGTTATCTACATGTAGTTCTGTGACTTTTGGAGTAATGGGCGTTACGTTTCTTGTTGCAGCTGAATGCTTGTGATTGGTAGTGTTGCGACAGCCTAGCCTAGAACCAGATGTTGAACAACTGATTTTTATATAATAATATAATCGTTGTTTATTGAAAACGGAGGACAAGACAAACAATAGACCTAGCCTACCAACTGTAACAATCG